TGACTGTATCCGGTGACGGAGTGCGGCGCGCCAGGTGGCGCCTGCTGTCCGTCGGGCAGCACGACGGGGTAGTTGGTGAAGATGGGCGTGCTGTGCACGGAGAAGGCGCGGTGCCAGCTCTTAGTGCCCATCGTGTTGTTCGACTCCTTCGTGACGTCGGAGCGCGTGTCGTAGCTGTCGCGGTTCGAGTCGGAGTTGTACTGCGGAACGAACCTGCGTGGGAGAGAGAGAGAGAGAGAGGGGTTAGAGGGTCTTTCGTTTACTGAAGGAGAGAGGCGAGAGGGAACGATAGGCAGCGAGAGCGAGAGAAAGCGTGAGAGAGAGGGAAGAGAGAAAGAGAGAGCGAGAGAGAGAGAGAAAGAGCTAGAGAGAGAAAGAGAGAGAGAGTGAGAGAGAGAGAGAGAGAGAAAGAGAGAGAGAGAAAGAGAGCGCAAGAGAGAGAGAGAGAGAGAGAGAGAGAGAGAGAGAGAGAGAGAGAGAGAGAGAGAGAGTCAGCGAGCGCGCTCTGAGAACTAATGAGACGCGCAGAACCAATCAAATTAACTTTGCTCGAAAACAACCTGCCAGCGGCACCTAACGGCGCTAATCTCAAACCATCGCCACGCCAGCGCCACCTACCTGAACGGTATCGTGCTTCCCCAGTCGGTGGAGTCCTTCGTCGCGAAGTACTCCGGTATCTCCTCCTTGCGCTCGTCGTCGGCGGCTCCGGCGCGGCAGCAGCGGGAGTAGGCGCACGGCCACAGGCACAGCAGGAGGATGACGCAGAAGAGCAGGAGGATGCCGAGTGCGATGACGAGTCCCAGCAGCAGGTCGAAGTAGCCGCAGCGCTCCGGCTCGTCGCACACGCGCAGCGCGTCTGGGGAAGAAGCAGAGTGAGAGAGAGAGGAGTTACATGTGTGTGTGTGTAGAGAGAGTGTGAGAGAGGGAGAGAGAGAGAGAGAGAGAGAGAGAGAGAGAGAGAGAGAGAGAGAGAGAGAGAGAGAGAGAGAGAGAGAGAGAGGAGTTACATGTGTGTGTGTGTGTGTGTGTAGAGAGAGGGAGAGGGAGGGAAAGAGAGTGAGGCGGGGGAGAGAGAGAGAGAGACACAGGGTTAGGAAAGGGCTTAGTCACGTGTGGGGGTGTAGGTTTGCTTACTTGCCCCTGGTTACGTGTACTCTTTATAAATCTATATATTTGTTTTACATATTTTTTCCCGACAGATGGCGCACCGCATCGTTTTTGCAAAAAACTTCTGCGCGTACCTGGAGAGCCTTCTCCCGGATTGAGAATGTAGAGACTGGTCGCCGTCAGCACCTCTTGTGTGTCATCACCAGGTAGGATAGTCGGATGCATTGGCTCGCTGCAGTTCACCTGCAGACGACAGAAAAGCACACCTTAGCAGACGAACGAAGTGACGAGACACGTGGCGCAATGTCATGACTGTATATAGAATCCGCAGCCGATACTCTACACTCTACTTTACACTACTCTATTCTACACAGTACTGTACACACTAGAATGTACTACAATATGCTACTCTGCATTATTCTACACTACTCTACACTGCTCTACACTACCGTATACTACTCTGCACTACAATATACTACACTACACTACAATATACTACACTACANCGCCCTGGTATTCAATCGAGTGAGGCCTCGTCTGCAGCCGCCTGCGAAGTCCTGGACTGTTCAGTTGCCTGGTTGACGGTAGCACCTGCAAGTAGACGTAACGGCGGGCATGCGCGATTGAAGAACCCGTCGCGCCATCTTCGGCCGCGAAAATGTTATCGGGAGGGGGGGGGAGTTTTATCGGGAGGCGGGGAATGTATGTGGGGGAAGGGGGGAAGAAAAAAAATGTTGATGTTAAACAACATGCTTCTCTAAAAATACATAATTATTAAATATGTTGCGCGTGTGAGAATGCGATGGCAAACCCAGCGAAGAGAAGAGAGATGAGAGAGAAAGAGAGAGAAGAAGCGAGAGGCAGAGAGAGAGAAGAGAGAGAGAGAGAAGAGAGAGAGAAGAGAGCAGAAAGGAAAGAGCAGAGAGAGACATGCGAGAAGTTAGAAAGAACGAGAGAGAGAGAGAGAGAGAGAAAGAGAAGAGAGAAGAGAAGAGAAGTTAGAGATAGATGAAGAGCAGCGAGAGAAGAGAGATGAGAGAGAGGCGATGCAGGAGGAGAAAGGGAGGAGACGAGAGAGACGAGCGCGAGATGAGGCGGCGCAGACGCGCGGCAGCGATAGAGAGATGAGAGAGAACGAGAGAAGAGAGAGTAGAGAGAATGCGAGAAAGGAGAGAGAGAGAGAGAGAGAGAGAGAGAGATGAGAGAGGAGAGAGAGAGAGAGAGAGAGAGAGAGAGAGAGAGAGAGAAGAGCAGAGAGAGGAGAGAAGAGAGAGAGATCGACGAGAGAGAGAGAGAGAACAAGAGAACAGATACCTGCTTGGCTTGGATCGTGAGAGAGATACGACCAGAGATAGAAAGCGAGAGAGCGCAGAGAGACGAGAGAGGAGAGAGAGAGAGAGAGAGGAAGAACGAGAGAGAGAGAGAGAGAGAAGAGAGAGAGAGAGAGAGAGTAAGTGATGCTTCCCATTCTTTACGTGCTCCGAAGGATTCCGCGGTTAAACAAAAACTAAGCCATTTCAGGTGCTTGACTATTACACGCTCAAATCATCTAGGATGACATAATATTATCAGAAGTAGATAATAGGCTAGTAAATGACGAATTTTCCATGTTTATTGAAATCACACTCCTTCCCTATTATCTACTTCTGATAATATGTTGTTGATGCGGCCTTCTGCATAACACAGCTGTGCACTCGCCCCTTCCACCTTCACTCCGCAGACCCGACCTTGCCCGCGGCGGGAGGGCAAAGGGTTACGCTGATTCTGGTTCAAGATGTCGGACGTTGCCACCACGGTCACGCTAGTTTAGTTTTCCGCTTCTATTGACGCTTAATTTAGAATTATGATTTTCGCAGGTCGGGCTTTTCAATTTGCATTCGGCAGCCGTGACGGCTACGTATTGTTGTTGTTGGCGTTCCTCCATCTGTCTTGTCATGCATGTCTCTGTATCGCTTCATCTTTCTGCGGGCGAATCTAGCTCGCCCCCCCCCCTCGCTCGCTCTCGCTCTCTATCTTGCTCCCTCGCTCCCTCGCCCTATCTCTTTCACGCTCTCTCTCTCTCTCTCTTTCTCTCTCTCTCTCTCTCTCTCTCTCTCTCTC